CTGACACATCAGAGTTGTGGCACTTGCCTATCAATGCCTAGATGACCGATTTGGTACTCTCCCCTCGGTTCATCAGGTTCACTCATTGAGTAACAGGGATCATGTGTTTGAAGTATTTTTGGCTGTATTTCCTCTGGATTATGTTGCTCTTGGGCTACTCACCCAGCTAAGCCAAGAATCTCAGTGCTTCAGAGAAAGAAGGAGGGGGCAAGAACAATGGGCAATTGCCACTGGCTGCCTGATTGGGTGTTCTGGTTTCTGTTCGTTTTGTGTGGTCCTCCACCAGACAATCATCTTTAAATCCAGTCTTTGCCAAGAAAGGGCTTAGTAAATTCTAAATGTCCATTAGCAGTCAGGAGCTGAGCCTAATGCCTTTGACCTTCAAGGTTACTATAAGCCAGGGCCAGAGATGTCCAGGTACACCACTTAAGGAAAGTCCTCTCCATCCAGGAAGTGAAGGAAACCCACTTTGCTGATTGTGGGAAATAGAAGAAGGAAAGGCAGACAGATTTCTGGACCAAATTTCCAGAGAGCGAGAGACAGGAGGGCAAGCAGGGAGGTGTTGGAGGTGTTGGTAGCTACACAGTTTGAGGGGAAAGCCAAAATTAAGAGTTTTTGCCAACTAACCTGGACTCTGGGCCAGGGACCAGGCCACCTTTAACCTCCTGGCTTGCCCCACAGCTCCGGGCCTGCACACAGTGAGCAATGTCTGCTGGTGACTTGCCCTCGGGCTCAGCAAGCACCTCCCTCCCGGAGTTTGAATGCTGGCTGTCTATGTCATCATATTTATTACTCTCAGGTTGTGATGTACAGATGAGTGAGAGCTTCACAGTCTTTTATTAGTTGCCTAATGACTTCACCCAGGAATGGGAGGGGGCAGTATCATCTTCCATTTTATAGACCAGGTTGACAGAGACCCAGAGAAGAGAAGGGCAGCCTGCCACTAGACCATCCTGATCTGCTCTCATGGGACCTTTTGACTCATTGACCTATGAGGATGAATTCCCAAGATGACATAGGTGACTCACAGCCTGAGCACACTGGGGATTTACACATCATATACCTTGAGATATGTACCTCCTACCTTGATATACGCCTATAGGCAACACCAGGCCTGTGGTCACTGGAACCACAGGGCTCAGGAAATGGGGGTGCTCAGCACCAGAGGGCACTGTGAGCTGCCCCTGCAGCGTACAGCTGTCCCTGGATTTCTCTGGCCCAGGTCTCATCTTCACTTGAGGCCACAGCCTCCAGTCCCTTCCCCTGTGATTTGGGTCAGCCTAGGGTTTTCTCTTGAGGGACAGAACTGGAATCCTAAGGGCGGAGCATACTTTAAACCAGTAGTTCTGAAGCATTTCAGTCTCTTTACACCCTTGAAAATTATCGAGAACCCCAAAGAACCCTTGCTTATGTGGATTGTAGCTATGGATATTTACTGATTTAGAAACTAACACTGAGAAACTTACAAAATATTTATTTATTAGCTCATTTACATACTAATAAATTCATGTCATCCTAACACAAATAACATGCATTCTAGAAAAATAACTATATTTTCCAGAACAAAAAATAATATTAGTAAGAGTGGCATTGTTTTACTTTTTTTTTTTTTGGCAAATCTATTTAAATAGAAGGACTAATGGAAAAATAGCTATATTCTCGTATCTGATTTTGCACTCAATTTTTTGCAGTATCTGGAACTCTAATGAGAAAATGAATGTGGAATAGGCCCAAGAAATAAAACTTAATAATATTAGGAAAATAGTTTGACCTCACAGATTCCTTAAAAGAGTCTTGGGGACCCAAGACCTCCCTTTGAGAAGAGATGCTCTGGGTAGGGAGTCTCAGACATTAATGTGCCTGTGAGCCACCTGAGGAACTGTCAAAAGGCAGCTTCTGGCTTGGGGATCTGGGGAGCTCCCTGGTGTGGTGGCCACGCTGCCGATCCAAGGACCACGCATGCACAGATTCACAGCTCTGCCTCTGACGCTCCCACAGGCGGGGCCAGGGAGAGGCTCTGAGTCCTCAAGAAGTCATGGGGCTCTCCCAATCCATATAATTCTTATTTTCCCCAAGGTGATCACTTTGATTTTTTTTTTTTAATTTTTAAAAACAGGTTTTGGTGCCCAGGTTTTACTGGGCTCAGGCATTTGAATAATCGATTACTACTCACAGCCCAGGAGCCCTGTCCAGGGCTTTGCTGCTCTGTCCCCTGGAGAAAGCCCTCCCTCCATCCTCCACTGAGAGGCCCCTGTTTTGCTATATCCCCACCACCACTGAAAAATACAGGACACTTCAATACGTGACCTCCTCTCCACCAGACCTGAGGCTTGGTGCAGGGAGGCAGGTAGGAGGGCAGGGAGTTCATAAGCCTTCAAGACACCTTCAGTCAAGGAGACCGAAATGGGAAGTACTCAAAATACCGCCAAAAAGAGCATTACATTTCTTTATGATAGCAAAAGTCTGGAAACAACACAAATTCCCCTCAATTTGGTTAAGGTAAGCTAAATCATGTAAACTCACACTAGAATTACCACTAGTAATGACAATGCTTGTCTATCTTCTGTGATTTCAAAAGGGAGCCCAATACAAGCAAAACACATGGTTAAGCGAAAGGGCAGGTTACAAATACACTTCTCTGTACAATGGGTGTATGTGTATTTATTTATATTTGTTGGCGTGACATGTATGTATGAATTCTTCTTTCTCTGTATCACTTGGATTTTCTACATGCATATGTATTATATTTACAGTCAGGAAAAGAAACTCTTTTTAAAGCATCTGTTTATTCCACAGGCACGGATTTTCATTGGTGAAGCACCCATTGTATGTTGGGCAGGGGCTGGTCCAGCTGCTGACATCAGGGTGTCCTGTGTTGCCCCAGCCTCTGGCTCCCAACTGCCATCTCTAGCCTGATCATTTAGCATCAGAAAATGTTGGAACCAGTAAGACCCAGCCCACAACCTCATTTCACAGATTAGGGTGCCAAGAGAAAGTACATGACTTGCCAAGGGTCACACAGCCAGTTTCGCCCAGAAATAACAGCCCAGGGCTCTGTGGTCCCAGGGCTATGCTGCTCTCTCCTACCTAGGCCTGAGTATGAATTGTTGTTGGGGTTTTCTTTCTTTTTTGGGGAGGTGGGGGGTACTTTTGAATGGCCTGTCTTCTGGGCACCCCAGTCCAGGTAAACCCAGGATGAAAGATGAGCCCTGAATGAGACAGTGATTAGTAAGGTGGAGCCTGATCCTGCACAGGCAGAAAAGCAGCTTCAGAAGGGTCCCGGGCTGCCTGCCCATGGGGCACAGGCTGCACATATGAGGAAAGTCAGCCCTGGGCCCATGCCAGATGTCAGTAATTACAGGCAATGCAAGTAGCCCATTAAAGATGCTTGCCTTGCACCACACTGGCAAGCTGAGCTCAACCCCTTTGCACTTTCTATAAAAAATCCAGCCACATCAAACACTGGGGTTTTATACACTTTCCCAAATTCTCAGGTGATCATAGGGAGCAATGGTGCCCACACGGCACACAGACCGCCTGCTGCTCCTCAGCCTTGTCTCAGTGTCCACCCTTCCCACTTCCCCTGTCCCCCTGTCCCGGACCCTCCCAGCCTCAGTGGCCCCAGCCATCCCCTCAAGGCACTTCCCAACAAAGAGAAACTTCCCTCCCATCTCCCATGAAAATAAAATCCCCTTATTTCATTCCATAGAAGATTTTAGAAGCTTAGAAGTCCAGGGTCGTTGAGCCCTGGAATCTTAGACTTTGACGTAGAACCGCACTGAAGAACAACTGAGTCCAGCCCCTTTAGTTGACAGGAGGAGAAGCCGGGGTTCTGAGATGGAGAGGTGTTGCCCGTGGTATACGGGGCACCAACAGCTGCCAGGTCTCCAAGCTCCAGGCTGGAGCCAGCTCAGAGTCCAGGTGGATCAGCCTTGCCTGTGACCAGAGCGCCACTCCCCTTTGGTTAGTCACCTCCTCCCAGAGCTTAGGCTGACATCACTCCTAACAGGGAGGCCTTGCAAGACATCCAAAGGACAGAAGACCCCACAAGAAATCAGGCTGAGGGTCTCCTTCTAATTTCCAGGGTAGATTTAGCCCAGGCAGAGGCAAGACCACACACCATCCCCATCTCCCCACCTCAGAGCTCAGAAATCCCCAAGTGGAAGTTTGGAGACACGGAAGGGGTGCACATGCTCAGGAACAGTCTAACTCCCAACATACAGGTGATTGAAAGAGAAGGGACCAGCCGTTCAGGGTTCCCATGCCTCCAGACCCTTTCCATGAGTTATGCTAGTACCTCCTCAGTCTCCCCATAAAGAGGGGTCACTGTCTTCATCTTCCAAAGGCTCAGGGGGAACCACAGACCTCACTGAGGTCACGGAGTGACCAGGGGCAGGAGCTGGCCTTCAGCCCCAGGCCTGTGTGGGCCTAAAGTTTGTTCCTCTGAAACTCAGGGCTCCTCCAGCAAGAGTGAGCCCACGGCGTGGGGGTGCAGGGGTGCGGGAGGGTGGGGTGTGGTGGGCAGGGTGCTGGGAGAGATCACCAGCGTGCCCCTGTAGATGCTGCTGGAGCCCACGTGGAAGAGAGAAGAACCACAGAAGCTTCTCATCACAGCCAGGAGGGGAGGAAACACCCCAGACAGGAAGCCATGAGACCTGGGTCCTAGTCCCAGCTCTGCAGCTTACACTTTAGAGAAAGTCCCTAGCCTCCATTTTCTTTTTCTTGTGGTTGGGCTGTTGTGAGGGGTGTGACTGGGTGGCCATAAACCCAGATCCCACCCACCTCCCTCTCCTTCCTCCTGGTCCGTGCCAGGCTTCCGACCTTCCTGACCTCAGTTTCTCCCACACACCAGCTCTCAACTCTGCATTTGGAAAGCCTTTTGACTAGAGCCCTTCCCACACTGGACACCTTTTAGGTGCAAACCAGGGCAATTATGTGTGATTAGGGGTGAGAAGGGCCACGCCTGCTCTTGATTTCTGCCTGTCCTGCCTGGGAGCGTCCCCAGATTTGCCTAGCTAACTCGGGCCTGGCTGCTCCAACACGCCGTGCTGACGGCCCACACCATCGCACAGAGGAAATGAGGACTCGGACTGGGCCTGGCATGGCAGGTGAGTGGGCAGGGCCTGGGGGCCTCAGGGCACAAGGGCCCCTGAGAGGAGCTTCAGGAAGTGGGAGTCTGGGATGAAACTTTGCTCACTGATCCTTAGGATTAGCTGCGTGGTCCGTGAGCTGTTCCCACACGTTCATGAGAATATAGGAACCCAAAGATGGAAAGAGCCAGCCCAGACCACCCAACGAGTCTGCAGCAGGACCCTTCCTGGGCGTGGGCCAGGCCTACATGCCCATGCCCCTTGCTCGACTGGAGGAAGGGAAGAGGGGAACTGAGATCTTCTCACACTGTGTACATTGTGCATATCCAGAAACATCTCTGGGCGTAGATGGGAACTGTGGGCAGGGTGGGGAGGACAGAAAGGCCCCATGGACGCATCCTCTTCTATTTCCCATCCCAAAGGTTCGGGGGCAAGAGCAGCTCTGTCTGACATGAAAAGAGCTATGTGAACTTGAGCAAAAGAATTTTCCCTTGGTGCCTCCTTTCCTCATCTGTAAAATGGGAATTACAGCACAAATCATCTCACAGGCTTGTTGTAAGGAATCAGTGAGACCAAGTGCCCATACCCTCCACAATATCTCATGTCAGGTCTTGTAGACAGTAAACTCAGAAAATGTGCCTCCCTCCATGGCCCCAAGATAGTGAGGGCGAATCCCCCTCCCACCCTGCGGCCTTGTTCCCTAGTAAACAATGACATGTTTTATACCTACTCTGGGTAGGTGCTGGGGGCCAGTCATGAACAAGTCAGCAGAAGGAGGGGTCCTAAAGGATCTCAGAGGGGATCTTACAGGGAGTCTTCTAGGCCTTTAAAGGATGTTTCTAATTCTATGCCCCCTATTTTCAATTGTTCAACATCACGTGACAATTATATGAGGTAGCTCTTGTTTATATTTTTACTTTCAAAGGCAGGTATTTAAATTGCCTTGTCATATTGGAAGTTCCTCTTCTCACTCACTGCTGATGGTTGCTAATATTCCTGGGCGTTCTGGGCCCTCCTGGCTCTTGGGGTGGGCCTGCTCCCTTAGGACCAGGCCTCGTCACCCCAGCTCACACCCCAGACTGCTGCTTTGAGACCTGAGCTGCTTCTCCCCATTAGCCCTGCATTACTGGGGACTGGCTTTGCTTCCTTCAGGACTGCTTTTCAGAGCTCACCCAGAGGTCCCTCTTCCCTAAGTATCTGACATAGTCTCAGTCTTAAATTCAGTCCAGCTTACTTGCTAAGAAAGGACCTTTTGAGGAGCACAGTCACTGATGGGGGTTACAATGTCAGGTCTGCTACTAACTTGGTAGGTGGCCATTCTTCTCCCTGCACCTCAATTTTTCCATCTGTGAAATGTCAGAGCTGGATGCCTTCACACCAGTGCATAAGCTGACAGGCTGCATTCAATCCCCCAGCCTTCGGGCCTTCCTTGTTTCTTGGGGACCTGTGCCTCAGAGCAGCAGACCACGCCTGCCAAGCAACCCGTGCAAAGCCTGGGTACAAAGTGTGTGGCCTGCATGCCGCTCCGCTCCTTTCCCTCCCTCACGCTGTCTGTGGACACATCACTAGTTGACCCCAGAGCTCTTCCCTGCAGAACCTGGATGTGACCCCAAAATACTCCTCAACATAGGTCTTCAAGGAGTCCCTATCAGTTGACCAATGATAGGCCAACCCTTTTGCTGTTGTTGAATTATAATAGTCATTCAACCCAGAAATTCCAAGAATTGAAGAAAATATTCTGTGTGGGGTTGGCTCTGACTGGGAGGGACATCGGGTTAGAGTTGATGGGCCACTGCCTAGTGGTGAGAGAGGGGCCAGCAACTTCCACAAGGACCGGGAAGGAAAGGGAGATTGGGCAGTGGCCCCAGGCCACTCCCTAGTTAATCACTTAGCCGTGGACATCAGGTGCCCATGACACTAAGCATGAGGTCATAATGGAGCCCATTAAAAACGAATTACGTCAGGTCCAGAGTCTGGGAGATGTTGCTGCCTTCAGCAGAGCGCCCTGGCGCCATCCCTGGGGCTGCCCCAGAGACCTGGGCGGGAGGGCATCATCAGCCCTTTGCTGTCACCCGAGGGTGGGAGGAGAAGCAGCTGAGCTGAGCGAGGGCTGGGCTGGGGCTGGCGACGAAGAGCTGAGTGAGTGGGAGGCCACCTCTGCACACAGACCCTTCCCTCCAAGTAGGACTCTTTCTTAGGCTGACTTCTGGGGCCAGCTGGTGAGCAAGTGACCAAGAGACAGAGGGTGAGTTTCTCTGGAAAGGAGTGGAAGGCAGGCCAGATTGTGAGGGACCGTGAATGTGAGTTTGGGGACTTTTGAACAGAGAAAATGACGTGCTGGCCCTGATGCAATAGGAAAAGTCCCTGCACTTCACTGAACCTCAGTTTCCCCACAGTAACAAGATGGACTGAACAGGATGAGAACAGAATGTCCTGAGGCTATTGGGGCCACACAGTAATTTAAGCAAGAGGGGAAGAGGGGAAAGTAAAGAGAAAACGATGTGTGCGGTAGCCGGGAGAGGAGGCCCGAGGTGGTGGTGGGATCTGGGGAGAGGAAGAGCTGGCGAAGTAAAAGCCCCGTCTACTGACCTTGAAACTGTAGGCTCACAACTGTGCTCAGTGCCTTCTAAGTGGGGAGGCCACTCCCCTTGGTTGAAGCTTGTCCTAGGGTCTTTATGAATGGATTTTCCTTTCATTCTCAGAATTTCCAGATTTAGGAGATGGATTTTCTCATTACCCTATTTATGACCATTACCTCATGCTAGAACTCTATGAGAAAGGGATTATTATTATTACTGCCATTTTCCTGGGAAGGCAATCTGAGCCTCAGAGAAGTTGATTAACTTATCCAGGCCACACAGTGCATAAGTGGAAGATTCAGGAGAGCATTAATTGGCAGAACACTGGAATGGCAGCCAGGAGTTCTTGTGCAAATACTGATGATAGTATGATTAATAACATGCACATTTACTGAATTCCTAATATGTACCAGGTCCTGTTCTAAGTACTCTATGTGAATTATTTCATTCAGTCCTCACAACCCAAGGAGGTGGCTGCTATCATCACCCCCATTTTCACCATAAGACTGGGGTTCAGAGAGGTTCAGTCACCTGCCTCAGGTCACAGAGCTGACAAGCAGCAAAGCCTGCATGTGAACTCCTGTGTGGGCCTCTGCAATCAGGCTCCTGATCACTGTGCACCGTGGAAAGGAAGGCCAAGAGAAGAAGGTGGGAGGGAGAAGGGAAGGAGGACAACCACACTTGGGGGTCTGGAGGCTTTGGGGTGACAGTGTGGGTGGAGAGAATGACCTTACTACATCCCTTTTCCCTTGCGTCTAGCAGACACAGCAAAAGGCTGGGGTCAGGGGCCCTGAGCTCAGGGCTGGGAGCTCGCCTCTTATATCCCCAGGATGCGGGCCCAGGGCTGGCAACACCACCCATTCTGTCCTCGGGGCCTCATCAACCACAGGAGTCCCAGATGAGACATGGCCTCTCCCATCCCTTCCCAGTGCCCACCAAGGGGCTGTGACAACATCAGCACACTTCAGGAGTCCTGGGGGTATCAGAGGCACTTGATTCAGCAAGCCGCAGACTCAAACCCTCAGAGTCCTTATAGGTCATTTCACAGATGAGAAAACTGAGGCCCAAGAGAAGGAAACGACATAGCCTAGGTCCCACAGGGAACAAGTGTCAGGTTGGCCTGCCTGAATCAGAAGCCACACACTCCACCCATCTCCTGGGTCCATGACTGTGGAAGGAAGGAAGGAAGGAAGGAAGGAAGGAAGGGCAGGTCTTGGAATGTGACAGCTTGAGAGAGAGGATTACGGGTGGGTGGGGAGCCTGGTGCGCTGATGGGGCGTGGGCGTCGATCCTCAAGGGTGTGCCAGGAAGCTGGTGGGCATCAGCTCCTCTTTCTACACCCAGCCAAGGGACAGCGAATGATGTTCATTCATTCATCCAGCCAACATTCACTGAGCATCTATTATGCCCAAGACGTGAGCCAGGCTCTCACAATCCAGAGACAATGAGACTCAGGCCTCGCCTTCACAGAGCTCACAGTCCAGTGGAGGAGAGTAACACGCAAGGGAGTAACTGTGACCAGGCCCCCTTTATGACTTTCTGGGACAGAAGCCTGAGTCTCAGATAATAGAATTGGAGCTGAGCACATGGAGGAGGTGATGGGTTTATCCTGATGGGGACTCTGGAAGCAATACTACAAGCACATGTTTCTCCTGGCCTTGAGCTGCCCCGTATATAGGCTCCCCACCCCTGTGCCCTTTAGTCCCTGTGGGGGCTGGAGAGGATGCTGGCTAGGGCAGAGCTGGGCTGTCATCACCAGAAGCGCTGCTTTCCCCATGCAGGATCCTGGCTCCCCGGCCCTGACCATCAGCCCACACATGCCAGGTCATGGGGATATGATGCTGATGAGTCAGATGGCTTAGATTACCAAAGCTGCAGCTCCAGGGGCAGGTCACACAGGCTCCAGAGCAGAGACCTGGGTTCAGACGGTGTAGCTGGTGGGGGTGGTGGGTCAGGATTTCTTGGTAATAGCTCTGCAAAACCATCATGGGGCAAAAGGACCAGATGTGTTCTGTGGGTCTAACGGGGAGGCAGAGTGGGGGCAAATGGGGAGAAGCTGCCAGACAAAAGGCCTTGGTTCGGCAGAAGGAAGGACTGCTTAACATCTGGGTGGTGTGTGAGCTCCTTGCAGAGCCATGCAAGCTGCAATTATGATCGAGTATCCACCAGGAATTTGGCTGAGGGAGTCTGACCTGGGCAGGAAATTGTGAGAGAGAGAATTTCTGAGATCTGGAGATAATGACAATAATGGCCTCTCTGACTCATCCTGCCCTCTCCTGCCCCCCATGTGACGAGTCTACAGATGCCCAGGGGGTGGTGGGAGCTGGTTTGGGCTGACAAGGGAAGGGGAAGCCATGGCAGAATCCTTCGGTTGAACCTGTGCCCGAGGTCTAGGAAGTCTCCCCATCTCCTAGCTGTAAGCATCCCTGGGGCATGCCA